CAACCATGTGAAAAATAATTTGTACACTCGTGCCTCTCATTATCAAGAGCCTGCACGATATACAGTACGATGTTGCACTTTGCACACTTTACCGCATAACTGTTGCACTTTTTCTGCAATATCACTGCACCTAATTACTTGGATAGAGAAAAAAAAAAGTTACTACATAAAAATTTGTATTTCGAGCACAAATGTCAACAACAAATATGCACTAAAATATCAATAACAATTGATAATATGTCGCCACGTGTATTGTAATAGTCATTCGTTTTGAAAAAAAAAAAGTATATTACATACATAAATCGCACATCAGCAGCCAACATATCACGTCAAAATTATTTCAATACGTGGATCGGTCAAATGATCATGCACGGTATACAAAGTAATATTGCACTTTATGCACCACCTCATTGCACTCGATACTTAATTCTGTTACACCTTATCAGCCACGTTAACATATCACGTGAAAATTATTTCACGTGAACATATCACGTGAAAATTATTTCAATACGTGGATCGCTCAAATGATCATGCACAATATATAAGTATTATTGCACTTTATGCACCACCGCATTGCAACCGGTAATTCATTCTGCTGCACCTATCAGTCATGTTAACATATCACGTGAAAATTATTTCAATACGTGGATCGCTCAAATGATCATGCACGGTATACAAAGTATTATTGCACTTTATGCACCACCTCATTGCACCCGATACTGCATTCCGCTGCACCTTATCATCCATGTTAACCGTACAAATTGAAACGAACAATTCAACGATACCACAACTTACAACACATACACGTGATATTTTGTCATTTTTTCTTAGCATCATCAACCACAAAAACAGCCAACCAAATTAATAATAATAATAATAATAATAATAATAATAATAATAATAATAATAATAATAATAATAATAATAATAATAATAATAATAATAATAATAATGAACCAACATAACAGTCGGAACAAAACACATAAAAACATCAATGATAACATAGCAATACCCACTAAAACGAGTTCACCACGTGCTGTGCAAATTCAGTGACAAATGTAAACATACCAAAAGATGCATATACCTAAATATAAACAACCAAACACGGTGTCTATTCCCTCCAAACAGTACACCAATGTAGCTAACACCTCACCCAACAACACGTTCTTTCTCCACCGCATATAAATGCTAGAACCGCTTTGCTTCGATAAAGTTTACATCTTTCAAATTATTGTATGGCGTGCACGCTATGATATAACAATACCGCTTTCTTATAAGCTTGATTTCCCCTTGTCAGCCCTCTTCACGTTTGGATTTCAGTTTCTTGTACCACACCCTTTAAATGTCTCCATGTGACGCAATGTTAAAATGCCGTCGTCGACATCATCAACCCCTTCAGTCCACGTCAAATCGACAACACCCCGAACTGAAAGTGAAACACCTTTTGAGTGCTTCGACATGTTCATATGCCCCAGACACTTTGCAAATCCTTGTACATCGAATACAAACAACATTCATTTAATACGAAGAAACACAGAAAATAAAAATAAAAATAAAAATCACATGCTTAATACGCTAACAATAATAGAAAATGATTGATCTTACCAATAACGCAACACGTGCCAAGACGATTTTCTTGATACCACCGTTTTTACATTTACTAGAACTGTCCAGAACGAAAAAACTTCCGGGAGTCCGGGACAATGCATATCAGCCTGTTGAAACTCCCAGTATGTACAGGAGAAACAAAAAACAATACAAACAATATAAAGCAAGTTATAATCGGTGTTTTAAAACGCGTATAGCGTAATGCGTCGCGTTTTGATCTTTATACTGCGTAGCGTAAATATCGTTGCGTGTTGCGTAAGCTATTTGAGTATTAATTTTTTTATAGAAATATTACTAGTATATTTGCATATAATAAAAATAGATGGTTGATTACAAAAATTATCATAATATTTGAATGACTTCAAAAATAACATCTAAGGATTAATTCTCACAAATATTTAATGTAAATATCATCATAATATAAATAATTAATGATAATCGTATATACTAAATAGTAAAACAAACAACGAAAATATAATGAAGTAAGTCATAATATCATTTTAAGTATATGCATTTAATTATTATTTTTTTATTTAACTACAACTTAAATATGACCATAGATATGGACTTTTTATTCTTTATTTAAATGTCAAATATCAAAAAATAAAATGATATAACAAAAGTAGACCAAAAAATATTGCACTATTCAACTTAGGACTTTGGATTTTCAAACTTTTATTTGAAATCTTTATCAAAATCTCAGTTTTTAATTGTCATTTGTAAATATGACTCCGATCCCTAAAAAATAAGACCTTTTGAATATTTTATTATTCAAATGTCGTTGCAAAAATATAGCGTAATGTAGCGCACAATAGCGTGAAATTGCACAAAATAGCGTAAGGAAGCGTGCCATTTTAATATTTCGCGTAAGCTTTTCGTGAAAAATGCTAAATATAAAAGGCTACGTCGCGTTTTTCTGAAAAAAAGCTATATAGCGAGCAATAGCGAGCTATTTAAAACAATGGTTATAATACACCATATTCCATTATGATAAAGACAACAACAACAACAAATCTGCATGGTAGATTTTTTACGGCACTGGTTTGATCTCTAAGATATAAAATAAATAAAAAGAAAACATACTTTGTTCACAGCATAGCAGGGAATTCTCACTATATCCTCACATATCCAGAATAAATAGAATGATTAGTCACAGTGCATGTTGAAAATCTTTAGGATATGAAAACCGTATGCATTAATCTTGTATCCAGATAAGCTTTCAATTGCACTATACAAGTTCAGAAATCATACTTGAAGTATTTTAAACTATGGGCTTTCTTCTATCAACTAGTACAGAACCCGTGCGATGCACGGGGTGCACAATTTTAAGGTCATTTATTCATTCTTATAATTATATAAATGAATAAAAAAATGTACGGGATATATATAGTACGTGACCTGTAATAGGCTAAAATGTGAATACGGGTGATGCACGGGGTGCACAATTTTAAGGTCATTTATTACTACAGAGCCCGTGCGGTGCACGGAGTGCACAATTTTCTAGTATGTGTGATAAAAATACATACCGTATGCACAGGACAAAAGCACTAAATGAGTCATTTTCACATAGCTTGCCCGTTAAGTAGCTCCTGAACACGTGTGCACAATTTGTAGTACTACCATAAAATCAGAACATATTTCCATACAATTAGATAATAAATTAAATAATAAAGAAAGCTTTTTTATTTTAGTAAAGATTTTACGTACTTTGTTTTTTACTTATCGGATGTTATGGGATTTTTTTTTGTTAAACCGATTTTATGGAATATAATACAAATACAATTAGAGGATTGAACAAAATTAGAACAAATTTTCATACAATTAGATAATATAAAGAAATTAGATAAGGAAAAGAAGGAATTAGATAAGAAAATAATGGAATTAGATAAGGAATTTTAAATCTGATTTTTTTTTATAGATAGACTTTAGGTACAAATTTTGACTTCACTGATTTTATGGGATTTATTTTGACAAAATCGATGTTAATATGGAATAAGGCAAATAAATAAAGTCTTTTTATTTTAGTAAAAATTTTACGTCTTTTTTTTTTACTTGTCATATGTTATGGGATTTTTTTTCTTAAACTGATTTTATGGGATATAAGACAAATAAATAAAATAATTAAAACAAAATTCAGGATAAAAATAGCAATGCGTTAATTACGTTGACTTTTCAATCTACTAAATTTGGTAAATAGGATACCTTATATAATAAGTATAGATACAAATAAATAACATGCCAAAATTTTAAAGAATAATTAATGTATTTTAATTTATTATCTAGCCATCAGTAATATTATTTAATAATGTGATCATTATCTCTTAAATAATAAATAAAATATTAATTTAAAAAAAAAATATTTGTTTTTTATATACTCAAATAAAAATTAAAAAATACTATCGACAAATATGAATTATAATATATATCAGTAAAATCATTGCAGAAGTTAATAAAATTATTTAAAGAAATAATCTTTTTGATCATATTTGAATAGGAAATGTATATATGCAAGCAATTAATGCATATAGTAAAAAAATTTCTAAATAAAGTATGCATTAAATGTGAGTTGACTTTTTTTGCTACTATTTTTGGTAAATAGTATGGCTTTTAATATAAGTATAGATTTGTCCGTAAAAGGTCAATAAACAAATAGCACAAAAAAAAAAAAGTGTTAAGATGTTGAGATGTTTTCTATATTTTCTGCATTATATTTTCTATGTTTTCTGAATTGTACTGTATGGGCATGAGCTCGGTTTTTTTTCTTTTAAATCGCTTTTGTTACTCACAAAAGCGTGTTTCTCTTTTATGTTTTAGTTAGCCTTCTTGTTTAGGTGACGCGTCGGGTTGTAATCGGTCATTATGGCCTCTTAGCTCAATCGTTTATATTGAGCTTCTTCTTCCTATTTTCTGTAACAATTTTTACGAGAAATATACAGAAAATTTCCCCAAAATGTTGTGAGTTCTTCATCTTTTCATGGTACCAGAGCGGGTAATCAATGGCGCGCCAAGGAGAAACGATCGTTACCAGATATGCTCGGGATTCAGATCCACTACTGTTGCAGAGCTCAGACAATCCAGGAATGGTGCTCGTGAGTTTTCCGCTCATCGGATCTAACTATCTCCATTGGAGTCGTGCAATAAGGTTAGCACTCGGAGCTAAGTCGAAACTAGGTTTTGTATATGGCACAGTTCCTATTCCTGATCTAGATTCAGAAGATTATCAGCAGTATCAAAAGGTTGAGTTCATGGTGATTTCATGGCTTTTAAACTCAATCTCGAAGGAAATCGTTCAAGCTTTTATGTATTTTGAGACTGCTAAGCAGCTATGGGATGAACTTGCTGAGAGGTATGAAGAACGCAATGGACCTCTCCGATACCAGCTTTGAAAAGAGATTTCGAACTTTGCTCAAGGTAATCTTACAGTCACATCTTATTATACTAAGCGGAAATGCCTTTGGGACGATTATGCCTGCATAGTAGCTGTACCTGAATGCAATTGTGGTGCTGAGAAAGCTTATAGTGATCATGATTCAGAAACCAAACTTATGCAATTTCTTATGGGTCTTAATGACATATTTGAACCAGTGAAGAACCAAATATTGCTCATGGAACCCTTGCCTACTATAAATAGGGCATATTCCATGATTTTGAAGGTTGAGAAGCAGAAATCTGTTCATAGTCTAGTACAGGAAGGATTGGATAGTTCAGTGATGTTGGCAAAGGGTGCATATGGAAGGGGAACTACTAATATGGAAAATATAGGTAGAGGAAATGCAGGCATTAGCAACTATGGAAGAGGATCATTTGGTAGAGGAGGTTTTAGTCAGAACAACAACAATGGGGGTAGAGGGAGAGGTCAATTCAGACTTTATAAGGAAGAAAAGGCAAAACTATACTGTGAACATTGTGGTTATAATGGTCATGAAATCCAAGGCTGTTTTAAATTAAATGGTATCCAGAATGGTATAAAGAGTTCAAAAATCAAAAGGGAGGTCAACTTGCAAATATGGTAGATGACCAAAGTGTAAGTGCAAAGTCAGTTGAGGCTGAGAATGAGAAACAACAAACCCTAGAACCTTTGGGTGAAATCAGCTCATTGTTACAGAAGGAGATTGCAAAATATATGTCTAACCAACAAGCAACAGACTCATCTTCTTATTCATATCACTCAGATTTGTCAGGCAATATCAACCACTTTGGATTCTCTCTGTTGGATAACATAGAAGAAACTAGCTGGATTGTGAATACTGGGGCCAGCAGACACATCTGTTGTAACTCTGCTTTGGTAGAGAATTTCAATACTGTCAGCATGCCCATAACAGTGAACCTACCCAATGGAGCCAAAATAAAGGTGACAAAAGTTGGAGATGCTAAACTGACAGATAAGCTCATTTTGAAGAATGTCTTGATAGTACCTGAATTTAGGTACAACTTACTATCTATTAGACAACTCACAAAGGATAAAACCTTGGTATGTACTTTTGACAAGCAAGGCTGCAAGTTACAGGATCTTAAAAATGAAGGGTGTTGGCAGAAGGTACAACTCATGGAGGTTTGTATATTATCAAAGGAAGAAGGTTATTAATCAACCATGTTAAGGATAACTTTGAAGCTCAGGAGCTAGAACTGTGGCATAAAAGGTTAGGGTACAACTCCATATCAAGCATGAGACACATTGATTTTCTGAAGCCATTTTGCAAGGAACAGAAGGTTAAGCCCTGTGATGTGTGTCATAGGGCAAGGCAAAGCAGGTTACCTTTCCATCTTAGCACAACAAAAACTGAGAACATATTTGATTTGCTTCACATTGATATATGGGGACCTTGTCATGATGAATCAATTTCTAATGTGTCATATATGCTGACAATGGTAGATGATAAGACAAGGAGCACTTGGATATTTCTCATGAAATATAAATCTGAAACTTATTTGAAGTTGAAGTACTTTGTTAAGTTTGTGAAAGTGCAGTTTGGGAAATCCATAAAGCAAATAAGGACAGATAATGGCTCAGAATTTTTGGGTCATGAGGTGTTAGAGTAGTATACCCGGCGTTCTATTCTGATTGGACGTATTCTACTTATAAATACAATCTATTGGAATTATATTGAATAAAAAAGGCATTACTTTATTTTAAGAGTAAGCATTTATCATATATTTGCACTTAAGTTAAAGTCCCTAGATCACATATAGCTATAAGATATGGTTGCGCATAGAGATGGTGATCATGGAACATATCTTGAAAGCTGTGATCTTAAATACAGTTCCAAGTCGTTGGATGTTTCGAGATGGGATATCGAATAAATCCGGAAAAGACTTGCACATATGATGTTTGCTTGTTGGACAAGAATGTTGCATTCCATCAACATTAGCGTGGGACGCAAATACATATATGTGGGTGCTTGTTAGAGAATAAGTTCACTGAACATGACCGTATGAAAATTTTTAATGAAAGATTTTTCTTGTCGAATAAGAATTTTCATGTTACAATAGTATATGATTGATCCTTAGACTTGAGGCACAATGGTAACTTTGTGCATATTATATTTTACTTTGATTTATCCTTTTGATTGCTAGCACAATCGTATAAAGGGATATTTTGGGTATTATATTAATATGTATGGAAGTTTGTTAGTGGCCAACAAAGGATTCGACACTTATGAAGATAAGTGAATTTTCTATGTGTTTCATATTTAGTAATTCAAAGTCCTTGGCCAAGGCGGGATGAATAGAGATTCATAAACGAATTACTAAACTTGAAATGGAATCATAGTTATTAAATCTAATGCAAGTGTTAGCGTCTTGGCCCGGTTTGGAACGGATTGGGCTTTGTCCTCGCCGGTAGAACGCCGGAAACCTGCAAATAACTCTCACACCGGGGGTTGTGTCCGGTGAAGAGCCTCCGATGCTTAAGTCAGTGTGTGTATGAGTATATCGAAAATAAGTGAATGAATAGAATGTCTAGGAAAGAAGGCTCACCCCCTTTATATAGGAGTGAGATACCTGCCCTAATAGCTGCCCGGATAAGATGAGCTGGCTGCCCAAGCTGCCCGTCCGTACTCTGACACACCGCGCGTATGTCAGAGGTTGCGCGGTGCGTTGGGAGCTGTCAGAGGTGGTTATCGACATCCACCAATACATTCTCGACACGTGTCCCTCTGCACATGGAGTAAATATTCTTCTGAGATTAAGTTGGAGGCTCTCGCACGCGCCTGTGACTAGGCCGATGGATGGGTCCCCGATATGCTCGATCTGGTGTGGTCGAGTAGTTTGGTCGATAATGTATATGATCGAGCAATGGGTCGCTCGATAGTGTATCTGGTCGAGCGACGGATTGCTCGGTGACATACCTGGTCGAGCAATGAGTTGCTCGATAGTGCATCCGATCGAGAGGTAGATTGCTCGATTCTCCTTCCTTTTGGTTTGGCTTCAACCTGGTTCGATCTCCTCAACCGACTGAGTAGACCGGTTTAACCTTATGTATACAATATCCTATATCATCTAGTCCCCCCCACTCTGGTCGAGTCTGAATGACTCGATCTAAGAGTGAATTCGTGTTCACCGACCTTCTGGATAGCTTGTCGTCAGATATCGACCAAGTGGTGAATTTCCCGCTCAGGCTTTCAAATAATTTCTCCTTGATTGCCAGAAATAAAGCTTCTGACACACGCTTTTTCTGCCACACCCACTTTTTAGCCACGTGTCCTGCCTGTCAGGCATTTGTCTGGCGTTCTAATAATGACGCCTCTTCGTGCAACGCGCCCACTTGAGCGCCGTGTTTATCAATGTTGTCCACCGTGCGATCTGACTTTAATCTGACGGTCCTCCTCTTTTCAGTCTTTAAACTCTCCAAGGTATAAATTCCACACTTAGCCATTTTTCATACTTTTTTCACCCTTTGCAATCTCGAACTCTTCTGCACTCAGAATCTTTTCTGCAAAAAGTCTTTTTTTCTCGGTGATTCCTCTTGCATCCTCCAAACTTCCATCTTCTGTCGATCCCCGGTTATGAGTAAGTTCTTCCACACTTGAATTTATATTCTCTGTAATTCTGTTTTGATATTCTTGGATTTCGGTATTGAATATCCTCAACTTGCCTGTTTGAACTGTGTTGAATCCGTGCTTTGAGAACTTTTATCTGTCTATCGGGTGTTACGGATTTTGCTTTTCCTTTGAAAATTTTCGAAATTTCTGTCTCTGCGCCTCTTAGATACCTCTTCTGGTTTTTGAATCGCCCCTTTTCAGAAATCCTAATCTTCCTTCTCCCCCCTTTCTTCGCACCGGCTTCTTTTTTTATATTGCTTTCTTTGTTTTTTGTTTTTTGTTTTTTCAGACTCTGCGACCTCCTCTGATTCAGTTGAAATACTGCCCTCTACTCTTGAAGTTGTTTCTCTTTCCATTCTTCGTCCCGGCGAGACAGTCCCTACCCGTGTTTTCACAGCTCGAACTGCTTCCTCCAACTCCGGAGACACCATGGATAATCTTCCTCTCAACCGCCGTCGACCTGCCTTCGGCTCCTTAGATGAGACCGAGGAGGACAAGTGCGTTTCTTCTCAGCCTACATTTCCTCTATCTCCAACCATTCCTCCTTCTTCTTCTCGACCCAACACTTCAGCTTCTCTCCCTAAACAGTCTTCGACCAAACCTCCTTCGAAAACCTCCACCAAACGCTCTTCTCCCCATTCTCTCTCCCTTTCTAATGAGTGGGTTGACCCCTCAAAGATCGGTCGACCTGCCAGCTGGTCATTCTATAGCCCCTCTCGGTCTGACAAATACGACCAGCCTCCCGAGAATAGTTATACCTTCTTCGAGGTCCAGTTTAAGCTTGGCTTGCGCTTTCCCCTGAACTCTGAAATACTCCGTATTTGTGAATGGTTCTCTCTTCCCCTGCATCAACTTCCTCCTAACGCCATCCGTTTCATAACCACTTTCATCATCCTCTGTCGCATCCGTCTAGGTCGATTCGATCTAGACTTCTTCCACTACTGCTATGGCTCTTCCAAGCTAGGTCGAGGCCTTTACTTAAAGAGTCGCAATGGTGCTCATTTTATCAACGACATCCCTACCAACCTTCCCAAATGGAGCGACAAATTTATTTACGTTCAGCCCGATGCTCCTTTTCCTTGGCCTTCCGTTCCTTGGGTCAAGGAAGTCTCGCGGAAGGCAGCCTCAACCCCTCTGAACAATCCTCTTTTCGATCAACGGATCCACACTTGGAATTCCAAGACCGTTGCCTCTAAAAGCTTCTCAAGGACGAGAATCTTCTCCACTTTTGTGGTCTTCTCACCCATAAGACCCTCTCCCCTCCTACTGAGGAGATTCTCAACCTCGTTCGTATTGAAAACGACCCAGGTAACTCTCAACCAGCTGACTTGAGTGTTTATATATGATCTTGTTTTCATCAGAGTGGATTCTAACCGTATTATTGATATATTTGTTGCAGAGGCTCCAAGCTTCAACATTCCCCTGAGGAGGGTCCCTCTGAAGAAGAAATCCAGAGCGGCTTCTGGATCGAGCGGGGGCCAAGCCGAGGGATCGAGCACCTCATCCGGCTCTAGGCCCGAGCAACAGCCGCCACCATCATCTCAGTCCCAACAGCCTCCTCTTCGACCACAACCAAATCCTCAACAATAACAACAACAACAGCAGCAGCCATTGCGACAACAAAGGCCACCAGTCTCTTCACAACAACGGCAATCTCCGCCACCCCCTCCTGGGAAGAACCCTCAACACTCCAAAACTGTGCCCTCGAACTCATCGAAAGCCGACGATCATCAGAAAGCTACTGACCGTCAGCACAAGTCTGACGATCGTCAAAAGACCTCTGACCGCCTGCACAAAACCGACGATCACCCTCAAAGAACTAGTTCTCGAGCCTCCGACTCCAAAGATAATCTTCAAGACAAAGCCCCTGACAAATCCTCAGTGCCTAATACCTCATCTAAAGCCACCAAGAAGTCCTCCGAT